AGATTTATTTCGATATTCCAAATAACAACAATATTACTATGCTTTTATAGACAATGTCATGAAAAAAACCGAGAAAACTATCGAAGACGACGTAGATCTTTTAGTGAACCAACATCACGTTGTCGTTCCCGAATATATTTGCACATCTGGTCAAGCAAATAGAGAAACCGGAGAAACGTCATGTTCCACGAATGACAACAATACTTCTAATTTTTCTATGACTTTCACTAGTCCACAATCTGCACTAGAATTGAAAAATAATCAATCACACGGAGACGGTTCGTTCCACCGCCTTTCATCATCATACGAATACAAACCCAGTCCATCGAATCTGGAACATGTTCCAAACCATGATTCGAAAGTTATTCCAAACCATAACAATAATACAGATATGACGACGCTGGGTGAGTTTCTCCGGTATAAAGAAAATATAGAAAAATTGAAGGAACTATGGAAGGAATACGCACCCGACTCCAGGGAGCAGTCTGTATATTCTCATCCCGAAGGAACATATATACGGAAGTAGTATAGTTTTGATAAAACTAACCGCGAGTTGATCGGATGCAATGTTGCCTAGTAATGAGTAACTTCTTTTTGAAGTATAAATAATGACTATTGAACCCCCCTCCCCTCTATTCAAAAACATTGTGTAATTTACTATTGGACTTTGTATGTATCCTTTTTTGTAATAAGACTTTTAGGACGATGTTTATATACCGCATATATATCACGTTATTGTCCGTTTCGCGAAATGGAACTGCGGTTTCTTCGGTAATAACATAATATGGTTAAGATCGTGNGTTTTGATAAAACTAACCGCGAGTTGATCGGATGCATTGTTGCCTAATGATGAATAACTTCTTTTTGAAGTATAAATAATGACTATTGAACCCCCCCTCCCCTCTATTTAAAAACATTGTGTAGTTTAATATTGGACTTTGTATCCTTTTTTTGTAATAAGACTTTTAGGACGATGTTTATATACCGCATACATATCACGTTATTGTCCGTTTCGCGAAATGGAACTGCGGTTTCTCCGGTAATAACATAATATGGTTAAGACCGTGCTTGTTAATCTTTCCTGTCCAATCGGACAGTATGGATATTTTAATAAAAAAAAATCGGCATTTAAATGACTTATAAAAAAATGACAGATATGAGTTTTGCTACAGTTAAAAATTAGCTTAGTAACAACTCGTTATCAATTAATATAAAAAAAAAAACAAAATATATGCAATTTAGAATATAAAACATATCACTATCTAACAATCATAAAATTACTCTTCATTTTCAAAGCTGCCTTAATAACAGCCTCTCAAATAACGTATGTGACTATTTAATATTGAATCGGGTAACTTCACTGAAATACTTAAGCATTTTCATTGCTCAAAATCTAAAATGGGATATTCATAATAATAATTTAAATAATATGCTTAAAAAATTGTTTAGATTTTCAAATCCCTCAAATATATTCTATTTCCTCAACTTAAAAAACTAATACAGACAGCACTTGTGCAATCCATTATTTCTTATGGTATTCCAATTTGGGGTGGTATATACCAAACCCATTTCAATAAACTGAAAGTAACACTGGGTTTATCACTCAAATTCGTTTTTGATTTACCTCATATATATCACACTTCTAAACTATATAAAAATTTAAATATTTTTTTTTTAATGTATAATATTAAGAATTACATTTAATATGATTAAAATGTATGTATCTATCTACATTATTTACGTAACTCTCTCCTCTTGCACAATCATTAGCTTTTGAATCATCAATTATACAAAATTATGTTTAATATGTCCATAACGCGAAATAATACACTAAACTTTTTTTTAAGCGAATTTCGTGTTTCACAATTGATAATTTCTAGATAGCAAATTTGTATATATTTTTTATTTATTTAAACATGTTTGAGTAGTATGACAACGAGAATTACATTTTAAATTACCTTTAAAACAAACACATTTTTTTGTTGTAAATTTATCTTTATATTAACAGCTAAAGCCCTGACCTGTTAAATATTATACATTATCTCTGATTAAAATTACTTTTGTCTTTACTTGGTCAATATTAATGAACTTTGATGTAGCCGATTGAATATTTCCTGAACCATACTGAACCCCTTTATAATTTATAATGCCATGTTCAATTCCTAAATGGCTGAGATTATTTTATATTTCATCAGTGAGATTATTTTNATAATCTCCAATTTTAAATTCTGGTATTTTTATTTTACTACCCTATACAAAAATTTAAATAATGCAATAGTAAATTATTGAAATTATCCAGCATTATTAAATAATTATAAAAGTAAAAATTATTTTACTTGTAATTTTTTTTTCAGCTCCGTTTTGTATTCCTTTAGATCCTAGATAACGTGTCTCTTTAACTTTCATTATATTCTCACACAAGTTACATAAAACTGATTCGGTGGCATCCGTTTTTCGCCTTAGTGGGCTACAGCGAGTATTTATTTTTTCGATTTAATTTTGAACTTAATTTTTGCAAATTTCCCCCAAGTCTTCTTCGGTTACAAGTTTTTGTAAAATTTCCAAAGGTAAATTGAAAGTAGACATTCCAATTTTCGGACTATTCTCAAACAAAGTCTTATATAGTGACCTACCCAATACTCAATGATGGGAACTATTTTATTGAAATTGAAAAATTGTGGTCCAATTGATCATTTCTCTGTTTTGTTGTTTTATATCTAAGATTTTAACATATTTTTTATGTCCTGGTTGCATCTCTCAAAACTATACTGGATTTGTGGGTATCTGGCTGGACCATAAATAATTACACAACCACCTGGCCAAAGTTCTTTAAGTTCAATAATTATAGAATTTACGAATTCCCTACCGTTATTGTTCTGCAATATTTTGAATGCGCTAAATATAAGAAAGATTGATGGTAAATTAATAGCTTCAGACGCATGTTTAGACTCGAGAGAACGTAAAAATGAAAATTTATTGCAATAATCCTAATAATTCAGTATCCGTTTAAATTTTTCATCAGGAACTGATTGAAAATTAGTAGATCTACTTGTCCTCTTTCGATAAACTTTTTAATGACTATTGGTTTAAAGAATAATTTACGGTTTACATTATTTTTACAATTGCATACCGTACATACTCGAATTGATTAAAAAATTTCAATCCGGATCCTAGGATAGTGTATTTATTGGTTACAGCCATTCGCAACTTGGCGTTTTCCCTATGACCAGTTCGAATATGATAATCATTTATCCTTTCATAAAGAACTTTATACCTAAAACAAATAAATGCATTGCGTTGATTGCGATGAAATTAATTTTAAAATAAATATTTGTATATTTATCCTTTTTTTTTGGATACTTAAGTACTGTTTGTTCAGAATATTATATTTTTTTAAAAGATAATATTCACGCCTTGTTTTCTTATTTATAATAGAAAAAATATTTGAAATTTATAAATTAATGCAATTTACAAAATTATTATTGTTAATTTATAAAATATAATGAGATAACTTACTTATTTAATTTAGCTTGTTCTAAATCATGCAATTAATTTCATCGGATCTGTGTGGTTTCTTCTAGGTTTATCGAGATAATATAAATTAATTTTTTATAAAATTAATTTTTTTCGTTAAATAACATTTAAATAAATTTATTAAAACCGAAAATAACGTGTACATTGTACAATTTAATACACAATAGTATACTATATTAGTGAAATAGGAAACGACAAAAGGGTAGAATTAATACATTTTATACAGCAGATAGAACTTAAAAATAATTTTGTGATCGTCATTTCTGATAAAACCTATAAGAATTATTATACTAACCAAAAACCATTAGTATACATATTAAGGTTTAAGTAAATAATAATAAAAGATAATAGTAGTTTATTATTTCGCGTTATGGACATCCAATATCCAAATGACGAAATATGGTCAGTTGTGTAAAGTTTAGATATCCATTTTACAATACATGGCAGTAACCTAATATGGATGCGACATAAACATATAATAATAATAATGAATACATACACTAAAACTGACTAAAGTAACACTTAACAGGTATATAGACGTGTTGTTTCTAGAAGTCCAATTTGTATTTTAACAAATATAATATTCATCTGATGTCAGGCCCTTAACCAGACCAAATCATCAGGTGGGGCAAACCAAGTTTTAGAGGGACATTAGAAAAACAATAACATACCACTGCATACATAAATGTCATAATTGTTACGGGAGAATGTTCCGTTGTCTCTTGTGGCTACGGGCCTGTCTGATGTATGTGATACTAAGCATTTTATTGAGCTTATTATTATTATGTTCTCTTCCGCTTAGTTCATTTAAAATCTTACTTGTTCGAATTTCCTTCAATATAAATGAAACTTTCGTAAAATACGAATACAGATTTTAGATTAACAGTCATAGTGCCGTATCTAGGGGGGAAGAGGGTCCATAGGGTCCAGACTCCCCCTTTTTTTGACCACATTGCTATCTAAATATCTAATATCAATAATGATACATTGATTATACATGGTACATTATACGACCCCAGAAATTTACATAATAGTGATATTTATGTAAGTAGTCATTATTATACGTATAGCATATTAAATTACACAATTTGTACAGAGTTTTATATTATTATATTATATGGATACAATTCTTAGCAAAATAAATGTTTTATTCCAATGTAATTACATTAAAGTTAAAATTATTCGTTCTTAGACAATGTCATATCGGGTCAACACGCGGTTAGTTTTTTGATATACGAAAGGAATAATGATTTTTTTTTAAGTGATATAAAACTATATTGTTAAACTTTCGTAAAATGAAACCACGAAATATATTTCGAAATCTTACGTCAAACTTTCTCTGTGAAATAACAAACGGAATAATTAGTCAGTGTATACGTAGCTGAGCGGTGACGGTGGTGCTCGTTTTTTTTTAAATGTAATATTTTATTTGTGTCAACGTTTTACGTTGACAGCCGGCAAAGTTTTATTTCATCACTTTTTACGTCGTGGCCCCTCAGTCATCTTTTACGGGGTGATTATTTTTTTAACGTTTCTCAACGGTCAGATAATAAATTAGACAATTCTTTAGATTGACAGAGTTAGTGAACTTTCAGTACGCACTGACAACAGTTTCCATGGTTGAATGATGAATTTAGTTTTAATTTTTTTTTTTTTTTTTTTTTAACTGTCACCGAAATACTCTCAAACAACTCTCCAGTAATTTTCTTGTAAAAACAATTGTCGAGAAAATTGAATTACTCCAAGTTTTAATAAAAATAAAAAAGTTTTACGCTTAACATAAAAATACGACTAACGGAAAATTACNTTTTACACGAGCACATTAAACGTCGGCGAATGTTTTTTTTCTATAAAAGAGCCGCTTTTAGAAGTACATGAGAATCGAAATTAAATTTTATATAAAATGTATATTCGTTATAATAATAATTATTGTTATTATTATTTATTTAATATGTTTTATGTTTAAAAAAAGAAAATGTATTATGTATTTAATTGATGTTAACCAATTATAATAATAATAATACAAATTATTATTATTATAGGAACCATGACTTTAGTTTGAATAACATTATATTGTTGTGTCGACTCGATTAGTTAGCAATGTTAATTTTGCGATGTGTGTTGTGAGGGATCCCGAAACGTAAAATATTCGGAATCCAATAATACTAAAGCCTGTAATATCTTTGGCCAGAGTTCTGTAGGAATGCTGCGTATTGTTTTGTAAAGACGATGGCGGGCGACATCGTCTTCGCTCTCGTCGTATATGTCCCAATAAGACTTCTATAAACTTTTCGGGGCATTGCCACCACACCAGTGGCGAGCGCATTGAATATTATTATTATTACACACATTGTTGAACGGTTCGAACTACGGTCGTTAAAATCAACTCGATAGGAAGGCGGAGAGGGAGCGTCGGCCAATATCTTCATGCATCATAATTCACGGTATTGGGTACAACTCGAAAGATATCTGATTTAAGGTGCAAAGTTTTTGAGGAGGAGGGAGAGGCAAAACTGATGTGAGCAAATTCCTGCGGCTGCCGGGCGGATATCTGCACCGCACTCGGGTTGTGTGGACCGGACGAGAGAAACTTAAACAATAATTTGTGCGTATAGAGTACGGGGTGCTAAGATTTTAGCAAAACTGCTAGGCCAGGAGCGGGGACCTTAATGGCTTTTAGTTAGGATTTAATATACATTTGTCATCCGACGGGTTCACGTCGATTTCTCCTCTCTCTTTTCCGTTTTGATCACGCAGCCCGATTGCACCTTGCGCGCTCGACTCTTAACTCGCTCGCTTCCTCCCTCTATTTTATTCGCTCTCACTCTCTCTCTAGTACTTTTTTTTTTTTGAAGGTTCCCGGTGCTGCTTAATGAGGTAGAACGTGAATTATGTGCAATCAAGGCAGTATCAGTTTCTTATCAGTTCCTGTATAACAAAGTTTCACCGCCACAGACTGCCATGATTTAGGTGTTACCGGTGCCGTAATTAGCACCACGTTAATATAAAAAATTACGTCTACCTCACAAAAGCGCACTTCGAAAAGGTCTATCGGCAAAATGATTTATCTAAATCGTTGTACAAATACAAATATAACAATATTGGAAAGGTATATAATATTTTTTCGAACTGTCATTTAAATTCATTTCAACTTTATTTATTACGTTTTGTTTAACATAATATTTATCTGAAATAAATATTATAGGGGGTACTACCGTATCAAACAAAATTATTATCATAATTTGGTTACACCGATACCTCAGTAAAAATATTCTATCTATACATTGTACTGATTGGTTAAAATTATAAATGGTCATAATATCAACACAATGTATGATAAGACAACGAACTATTTTATTATTTTATTTTAAATATGACAGTGAATTAATCAACTATGTTTAATATAATAGATAATGAGAAATAAAATTAGTATAGAAATTGTAATTATTATTATTAATTTTTTATATATCAAATTGATATTTTAACTGATACAAACAAACGTTTAAGATTTTGAGTAATAATACAAAACCGTTGTCTTGTTTATTGAATTAATACCACTTAAATAAGTTACGAATGCGTCATAAAATACTACAACTATTATTGTGTATGACTCCTTCATTTTTACTCAGGCAATATCCGTTACTGATGTTTATATATGACAACAAAAAACTATAATAATAGTATTCTATACGTGATGTTTTCCAACGAGTTTGCGTTGATGTGGCTGCCAATAGGACAATATACCCAAGGAGAGTCAAATTTAATTTATTTACGAAACCCGCATTATATGGCTTGGAACTTGATTTTATTATACAAATACCCAAAAAAGGCGTTAACAATTTTATGATAAACCTATTAATTAGCATATTTCGGTCTTAAAAGTGATTTCTCTCGCCTAAATCAAATTAACTTTACGATATACGAATCGATATGGGTAGATAGATTCAACAGTCGAACCTCTAAACAAATTGAAAAGGGATGAAAGAAATACAAGAACGACATTTTGGATTTCAGACATTTACTTGTATATTTTTCTACATACATTGTTATACTATATAACTGATTACTTCCCGACGAAAGTTATCTGCGCCCGAACTAAGAAAAAAATTGCCCCGTTTTTAATATTTATTTTAATATTTTCATAAGACGCAACACAAATACGAATAATATAGATACATTCAATCTGATTAGGACAAATAATATGTGGTAGCGTATAATAATAGCCGAAACACAATATTATATCTTATTCGATTTGCATTCTGTTAAATAAGTACATGTAACCTAAGTACACGGCGCCTTCTTTGTAATTTTTTTCGACACCGCGGTGTCCGACTGGACATTACCAGCGCGTAAACACGCGCGCACACACACACACATGCGCGCGCGCGCGCGCATCTTTATTATTATTAATATATGCACGCACACGACGTGCATCGGAAAAGGTCCTGGGCGCGAAATAACCATAACGCCGCGATATTATGTGGTAGCGTATAATAATAGCCGAAACACAATATTATATCTTATTCGATTTGCATTCTGTTAAATAAGTACATGTAGCTGGCACCGTATGTATATAATATTCCGGCGCCTTCTTCGTAATTTTCAAAGATACGAAAATAAATTGTTTTCTCATTATTCAATAAACATGACTAAATATTATAGTTTGAATAACATTTTATACTATTTATACATTACATTCAAAACGTTTTAAAAAAGTATTATTCCTTATAATTAAAATAC